AGCAGGTGATAGGAAGCCCTGTAGAACCAGGAGGGTGTCTGGGGAGGAACCTTTCTAACACTCACTGTATTTAATTGCAGTGAGCCAGGCAGATAAACTGAAGCCAAATTTGGAAGATTAGTTATAAAGACCCTGCACATTTCTAGTGTGTTTTAAGGATAATTCCTTCAATATATATGCATGCAATGGTTTCATTAAAATTTGCATTTTGAACCAAGTTGGTTATCCTGTTCAAACTTGGAACTACTTGGATCTTTTATTTAAATGCCTGTGGTGGCAGGGAAACTTCAGTCTCATAACTGCTTCAAACTGCAGTGGCTATGGTAATTGAACCAATAGTATTTAGAAATACAATCACAATGTTTAAAAAAAAAAAAAGTATGTGTTCTAGTGAGAATTGAGAATGAAGTATTTGCTGGTGATAATATTAGAAACAGGAAGGACTCAATGCCTGTGAGAGAATTCCAGAGAACAAACTTGCCAGTATCAAAGGATAAGATGATTATGCTAAGAAAACTCTTGTTGGATCCAATTTTTCTAACATGCCAATTGACACAAGATTCCCGATTCACATTTTCTTTAGTCTGAGCACAGGAACCCTGACTTCAGTGTACGTGTTAATGGCATGAATTTAATGCATAAAATGGATGCGTGCAGATACTTTGAACTTGAAAAATTTTTGCCCTGGTGTGGATTGTATAGAAGATTCTGAACAAGTCACTTAAGTATTTTTTTTCTGTGTTTGCTAATGAGGATCATTCTTCATGCTTTTTTCAAGATAAACATGGTTATTTTACTTTATATATACTTTGGCCAGTGAAAGCTGATGAAAAGAGCCTTACTTGAGTCTGAAAATCAGATGACATTTATACATCAACATTTAAAATGGACTTGGAGCATTTGGAATTTAGTTACAGCTGCTATTACCTGACTAGGATAACTTTGTTAAAGTAATCACTGGAAAAGATTTGAAGTTAGTAAGTAGCTGTTCACAGTAAGTGAATTACATTTGTATTTTAATAAATCATTTCATGCTGTTTTGGCAGAGACTATGATGCAGTCTTCAGATATCACAAAGGTGTATGACCTTGTTTCTTAGTAGAGGGGTAATACAGGCACCGTAGGAGTAATCCCCTTGAAATCAGTAGGGTCATGGTAGATTTATACAGGCATGTGGTAAACAAGGATGGAATTGAGAGATGATATAATGAGGTTTTGCTGTACTGACTGTTGAAAATTTGACCTTGTTACGCTTGGCAATATTTTTATTTGAGTATGGGAGAATTTTCTCCCTCCCCCCTGCTTCAGTTCGCAAAGTCGTTTATGTGCTGCATGTGTATTTTCATGCTATACAGGTATGTGAAGTGCTCTGCGCATCTGTGAATTTAAGTATAGAGGCAATTAAGGACTCAGAAAAAGGTGTTAGTTTTCATGATACCTCTAAGATAAGGTTTTCTTTAAATACTGCCTTTTTAAATGTTCTTAAATCTTCGCATACTTGCTATGTCAACTCTTGGCAATATCACATGTATTTTAATGCCATTCCTAAAATAATGTCATGGTCTTCTACTCAGAGAGAAATGTACTGGTCTAGCTTTTCCTTAGCTTTTCCGTATACTTGTAATCCAGAGAAAGCTGTTCAGCCCTTTTCCTCCTGTATCCCAGTCTAAATGTGGATATTAGCAGCTTCCTCGTTACATGGTGTTGATTACAGTTAAGTTGTATTTGGGTTCAAAGCGTTATAAAAATTCGTATCACCTTTCTGGTTTTGTTTCTAATATTCTTCACTATCTGCCCTAATAAAAGCACAGAGAAGTCTTGTTAGCAGAATTTGCAAATCACCCTTCTAATAGGAAATGTATGCTAACAGATAAAAAACAAACTTCAGTATTTTTCCGGGCTTTTTTCTTTGTGTTTACTTTGGGAGTTCTTTGTGTTTTCCTCTGAACAATATGGCAAGGTCTACTAACAGCTGTTTTTCTATATACCTGTGGGCAAGCCAGTAATTGCACTTGCTTCAACTAATAGCCTCAGCATTTCTCAGTAGAAGCAGCCAAGTCCCAGTTCAAGTCATCTTTATTAGTGAATTTCCAGCTTTAACCTGTACCCAATGATGTTTCAGTGCAGAGCTTCATGAAGTTCATGAATCAGCAGGTTGTACGAGCCTTCTCTGACTACATGTCCTGGGTGGGTTTTGTGGCCTTGCAGTAGGATCACGCATCAGGCAGTTGCTTCGGTTTATCAGGGGTGGAGGTAAACCTCTAAAACTAGATCACTTTTATTTGAATTTTTTACCTGTGCAAAGGCAGTAGGTATGATTTTATACCCCTTATGAATGCAGTACGTTTATTTTAGCTAACACACCTGGTAGATACCTAGAGTTAACATACAGCTCGCCTAAGCAGTGTTGTGCTTAGTGTCCTCATCAAAATACCCAGTTCACCCTTGCTGGCGGGCAGTCATCAGCTGAGGATGTGTTGGCCTCCCTTGCTTCTTGGACCGTGCTGTTCCTTGGCCTTACTGAGTTGCTTCTAAGCAGGGTTTCCCTCGGTGATTTTTATGCTTTTTTTTCCCCTCAGTGTTTTTTCTCCTGAGTTGCTAGTACCATCTCAGTAGTTTCAGTTCTGTCCTAGCTTTCTTTCAGGTTTTTTTTTTATTATTTTATTTATTTATTAATCTTGGATGGCTTCAGCTTATGTACTAGCAGAGTCAAGGCTGCACATCTGTTTCTTCCAAAACTGCACCCTGGGGCGCATATAGCTAAAGGCATAGGCATAATGAGTTACAGGAAGAAATGCAAGTGATAAATAGCTATATAGCAGCAAGTCCTACACAGAAAACAATGTAAAAGGTAGCCTTGTTTTTAATGCATTTTCACATTTGTTCATGACTCTTATTTGATTTCTTTTCCTTTTTGATCCAGTAGAATAGTGAAACTGGGACACCACAATGCAGTTTTGCTTCAACAACATGATCAAAACATTAAGAACATTTTAAACTAGGGCTGAAATTGCAGTTGTAGAAAAACAATTAATTTTGCCACATTTTATTTTACCTATGTACCTGAAAATTTGGATTATAAAATTAAGAAAAACAATGACTGCTTAAAATGTTTTATTCCAACATTGTGTATTGCATTTACTTCTGAGTTATCTACTTACCTTTCTACTGTGTTCTTAGGAGATTCTCAAGAATGAAAATTACAGAGAAGAAATGAAACAGAAAATCAAAGATATATCTGAAAAGGATAAGCTGCTCCAGGCCAAGGAGTACCAGGAGGGACTTGTTGCTGAACCAGTTCATACTCATGTTAAAGGCCACGCATCAGCCCCTTACTATGGAAAGAAAGAGCCTTCGCAAGACCCAACAAGCACTGCAAGTACCTTTCAGCCAGGCTCCTGGATGCCACCAGGCAGCGGCAGTAGTCACAAGAAATAAGTAATTGTCATGTACAGATATCGCTAATGGATAAATATTTTAACAGACAACATAAACAGCTGTTATATATAAGTGAGTGTGCAATAAAGTAGTATTAAAGCAGTTTCATTTATTTTTGCAGAACTGTTAAAATAGTCTTAACCATGACGAACTATTGTAAAATGTTTGGGGTTAGTGAAAAACAGGATGTGTTACTAGGTAAGTTTGTTTTCGACAGTTACTGTTCAGAAGTTACTAGTGAAATCATAGGTAGAAGGTTTTCCAGCTAACTTAGTTTTCTTAAGTAATTCTAAATTGTTTTTTCCTTGAAGACTCATGTATTTTTAACATCGTTTTTGATGTAATAAATTTTAGTTGATCAGTACACTTACATTTTCCCAAACCTAGGTGTCAGTTCAAGATAGTTCTTCAGAATGCTTGTTAATTCCCTTGGCACTGCCAGTGTGCTTTCCTCTGGCAAGTGGATGGAAAAGTTGATTTCATTAACAGAAATCACTATGACACTACACTGACTATGCACTGTTATTAATCTTAAAAGATATTCTTGTAATAAATTTAAGAAAACAATCAACATACTTGGATAATGTTTGCTTTGCAGCCAGCAGTAAGCACAGGATAAAATCAGGCTGAGTTAAACTATGTATAACTACTGTAATAAAGGTTAGAAGCACTTGGTAAAGCTGCTACAGGGTTTGGGACAAGGGACTGTCATTAATGCTGAAAAAAAAAATTAGTTTTTATTTCTGGTGTATGCGGGGACTTCCCTAAATTATTAGATCTATTTGGCCATAGTTTAGATACATAAAATATGCAGATTATTTGCTTAGTGATGATGTTTGAGAGGTTCAAGTCAAAATAAAGACCATACAATTTTTTGAAAAAAGTATCAAATTTATTTATGCAGTGCATCCTTCATCAGTTCTCCTCCGTGTGTTTTAAGCTATGTAGGTATCGAAGGTGGAACACACACGCATTTGACAACACTTGACACAAACCAGTGGAGACTTAAGCCCATGTATTTATAAAATGCTGAAATGTCATATTCTAATAATCCTTGCTTTGACCAACAAAATTGAAAGAGGATCAACAATACTTCACATGTACTTTCAAGTCATTTCCATTAAGACTCCCCACTTCTAATCCCCCTTTGTGTCACCCAGCTCTATAGGTCTTCTCATTTGAACAATGGTATTATTTTAAGGTTTTATTTTTAAATATAATGAAGGACTAGTTGCCAGAAAGCACAACTTGGTGCTGCTGTTTAGAAATACGCTGTCTAAAAACCCAATGACTGCCACAAGCTCTTTAGAAACTAGACTATTAATAAAAATTAGGCTTTGAAAAATTAATCAATTCTGTTAGAAAAACATGAATTGGAATTAAGGTTAAGTAATTTTGGCATATTTACAACACAAACCCCACTTGGACTTTTTCCAGTATGCCAGCGTTTTGCAACCTGGAAGGCAGGTTCTCAAGTGCCATGAGAACAGAGATCCCAAAGATCAGAAGGTCCTAAATCAAAGGTAGCCAGAAGGCTAGCAGGTAGGAAGCACTACTGTCACCAGCGTGGGCATCCTCCTCCTGTAATCTCCCACAGCCACCTGCTACAGGTGACGAGGACACAGGACACTAGGCCACCTGGGCCTTTGGTCTCATCCCATTTATGGCTATTCTTTGAGGCATAAAAAGTTTCTGAAGGCAGAAAACACATTAGTTACAGGTGGAGTGAGTGTTCAGGTGACCGTTAGGGAAAACCAAACAACACAGTAGTGTATTTTGTAGAACACGAGTGGCTTAAGACAAATGAAGGTCATAAGAACAAGCGATCAGCTTCCTAGAGTTTGGCCTGAATTTGAAGACTCTTGATGGCTGGTAGTGCAGGACACAGGAAAAGCTAAGTTAGGTTCTTTTTGCAGACAAGCCCCACCACCAAAGATGCTACAGCAGACCCTGCAGGCACACAGCTGAATGAACCACAGGGCCATACTCAATGTCCTTAAAGGAAATCGGAACGTATGCTACCTAATTCTGAAGCTGGCTTATCTCTACAGCTCTGCTGAAGGTATACCAAAACTTGTCTTTCTGCAATCCAGTTTACCATTCACATTTTCCCTATAATTTGACCAAGACACTTGTTAAGTCATAGCTCAGCTAAGGAAAAGAAGTAATCTACCTCCAGAGCCACCCAACAGATATAATTTTTTAATTTAACATGCAAGTTTAGAAAAGCAACCTGCACTAGAACACAAGTAGTAGATTAAATGATAGTAACAAGTGT